CAGTACCAAGAACTATAATCGTTTCTTTAACCCTCCTGTGAGAATTGTTTCGATGTTATTAAGTAGGTGTTATTTCCCATTATACATCTGGACAAACTGAGTCTTAGAGAATTACATAGCCAGAAAAAAAGAAAGATTACACATCAAAGATTCTGACCTAGCTTTAGCTCATCTAACACTCATGTTTTTTCTTCTACATCATGTTCCTTGTGGGGGTGGAAAAACACATAGCACATTGTCTTTTGTCTGAGCTTATGGTGCCCTTTGTGTGAGTTTATAGTACCCTTTGTCTCTTTTGTCAAAGGAGAATTTGGCCTGATCTTTCCTGAAGATTCATTGTGAAAATGTAAGGTGGAAAATCCTCGTTTTACAATGGGACAGTATGAGTTGAAGGTATTTCCTCAGTGTCACCAAAAAAAAAAAAAAAAAAAAGCCAAATCAGAGATTTGATTTCTTGTATATGGATATGTGCTTCTGGTGTATGTGCTCACACTGCTTAGTATGAAAAAGCATAATGCTTATGTTGATTTTTCTGATTGCTATAACATCTTGGTTTCTCTTTTATTTTGTAACTTTCTAAACTGAATTAATCTCTATCTAATACAAAATAAATCAGTGAACTAGCTGCAGCATTTATCCTGATTGGATTTCAGGCTCAATTGTTACAGACATGGGAGGCTTTGCAGTTATTTATTAGAAGACGACCCGGGAAGAAAAGAAAAAATGGATTTATGTGATCCTGTATTGCTAAATACAGCACACTGCTGCTGTCTCTTTTTTACTGCTTCCTCTAAAAGTCATCATTTCAATGCACTAATCTTTTAAACAGCCATTCAGTGGGAATTGGGCTAGAACTTTGCTAAGGGGTCACATTTACCAACCCGACAGTTATACATTTACAAAAGAAATAGCATGAATTTATTCAGCATCAAAACCTCTGCATCTTTTACCACCCAACTGCATTTCACACTGTATTACCATCAGTGAACTATCATGACTATATAAATTCCATCCAGATTCTTCATTTAATTAACTAGCATTCTTTGAACAAAAATAAAAGTGCTGTTTTTATAGGGGAATAAAAGCTGCATGAAGTGAGTGTGAAGGAGACAAATCATCAAATTAGTTATTATTCATTGCAGCTATGGAGAATTCTCTGCCCCTCCTCTTTCTCTTCAGTGGCACTATATTTTTTTCTAGCTTGATTGAATGAATGGAAAAGGGGGGAACAGTGTAGCAGCCTCGAAGGTATTTCAGTATATTGTAATGGTCACATCCTAAGCTCATGTGGGGTTGGGCACTCACGATATTGTCAAATACAAGTGATTTTTTTTTTTTAATCATTTTCTGTTTTTGGAGAGACAGTATGGCATAGTAGCCAAGAGCATGAACTTTGTGTTTTGTGACTAGACAGCCTTGGTTCAATTCCTAGCCTGTTTGTGACTTTTTTTTTTTTTTTTTTTGAGAGAGAGAGAGGGAGCATGAGCGGGGTAGAGGGAGGAGGAGCAGAGAGAGAGAGAGAGAGAGTTTCTCTGCACTGTCAGTGCAGAACCTCCATGCAGGGCTCGATCCCATGAACTATGAGATCATGACCTGAGCTGAAACCAAGAGTCAGACGCTTAACTGAGTGAGCCACCCATGAGCCCCTAGGTTTGTGTTTCTGAGCAAGTTACTTAATGTATCTGTGCTTCAGTTTTTTCCACCTGTTAAATGAGTATAATAATAGACATACCTCAGGCAGCAGTGTGTGGATTGGCTGAGTTGGTCCATGTAAATCATTTACAGTAGTGCCAATATCCATCTGCATCCTGTATGTACAAAAGCAGTCTGATGTGAAGGTGATGAAGCTGTGACACCAGTGACTTGGTCACCTGGCCTGAACCAACTGATGTGGCTTCATAAATGTTCTTTTATTTACCCAGATAGTTCTTTGTAACAGTATTTTTTTATTATAAGACAGTTTTAAAAATAAAGAAATTAAGTTTTGTTTTTTTAAATTTTTTTTTTAACATTTATTTATTTTTGAGACAGAGACAGAGCATGAACGGGGGAGGGTCAGAGAGAGAGGGAGACACAGAATCCGAAACAGGCTTCAGGCTCTGAGCCGTCAGCACAGAGCCTGATGCGGGGCTTGAACTCACGGACTGCGAGATCGTGACCTGAGCTGAAGTCGGACGCTCAACCGACTGAGCCACCCAGGCGCCCCAAGTTTTGGTTTTTTTTATTTGAGTATAGTTGACATGCAATGTTACATAAGTTTCAGGTGTACAAGGTAGTGATTCAACAACCATACAGTTATGCTGTGCTTGTAATTACCCTCTGTCACCATGCAACGCTGTTGCAATACTGTTGGCTGTATTCCCTACTGCTGAATCTTTTGTTCCTGTGGCTGAAATGGAGCTCTTTGAATCAGAGGTGTGATAGGCAGTTGGTTGGCCATATCTCTCCATCCTGAACCCTGCTGCCAGATTTAGCTTTCTGAGACACTCTGTTCTCAAATCAATTTCTGTTCAAAAGGCCTTAAAAGTTACCTGATATGGGGCACCTGGGTGGCTCAGTCAGTCAGATGTCCGACTTTGGCCTAGGTCATGGTTTGTGAGTTCGAGCCCCACATTGTGCCCTGTGCTGACAGATCGCAGCCTGGAGCCTGCTTCGGATTCTGTGTCTCTCTCTTTCTGCTTCTGTCTCTCTCTCTCTCTCTCAAAAATAAATAAGCATTAAAAAAAAAAAAAAAAGTTACCTGATGCAAGCTCTTTTGCCTGTCATGCCATTTCCACCAGAGCCTTGCTTGTTCTTTCCCTGTATCTCCTCAACCTTTTTTATCCATTGTTCTCCCAGGAAACATGTACTCCAGTCAAAATTAATCTAGTGCCATTTTTCAAATGTACCACATTCCTTCTTGTCTCTCTTCCTTCGTTCACATTGGTCTTTTTGTCTAACATGCCCCACCCTGTTCCTCCACTTATCTAAGTTATACCTAATTTTCTGAACTGAGCCATAAAAGGGAAGGTACCTTTTATCCTCTTTGTATTTTTTATCACATAATATGATTGTCTGGATGTGCTAGCTGCTAAGTAAATGCTGTTAATGATGATGAAGTCTTCTGTTAGCTCTACTTTCAAACTATATTTAGTATCTCACCACTTTACACCAACTCCAACACTGTCACCCTTGTTCAAGCCGCAGTTACTTTATGCCTGTCCCCTTCTTCCACCTGCTCCACCCTTGCCCACTCCCTACAATTTACTCTTAACCCATCTGCAAAAGTATTGCACTTACAGGTTAAGTCAGATCATAATCGTTTCTCTGCGCCAAACTCCCCAATAACTTCCCATCTCACCCTGAGTAAAGCCAAAGTTTTTATGATGCCCTACAAAAGCCTCTTAAGGTCCGCCACTCCACCCCAACACCATCCCTGCCCTCACTCCTTGTGTCCTACTACTCCCTTCTTCCTGTCCCTTACCACTCTCTACTTCTGTCACACTGGCTTCTTTGCTGTTCTCTAAAGATGCAAGGAACAGTTCCACCTCAGGGCCTTTGCACAAACTGGTTCCTTTTCCCAGAAAGCTCTTTGAGAAATCTTCATGCCTCCATGCTTCCTGCAGCTCTCTGATTAAATGTCTTCTCAGTAAGGTCTTCACTGATAATCCCTAATTTATTGTCTATCTCTCCAAACTAGAGTGTCAATGGGGGGGAGGGGGTGCATGAGGGAGGACTTTTTGTCTGTTTTGTTAGGTTCTCTGTCCTCAGTACTTGAAACAGAATCTGACATATAATAAGTACTTAGGAAACAGTTAGTGCATGTATGAATGAAAAATTGACCCTTAAAAATATGTCCATATTCTTAACTCTCCCTTCATTTCAAACGTATTTAGACTCAAACAAAAGCAAGCATCCTATAATAGCTCTGAGAAAATTAAAATAGCCATAGTTGAATATTAGCCATGGCAATTGGAGCAGAAAGTTCCATTGCAGAGAAAAGATATTTCTGCATCAAGTAAAGAAAAAGAAATCATTTACAGTATAATAACTGCCATGTGAAATTATATTAGGTGTCCTGGGGGGACTGTCGTCCACCCAGCACCAAAGCACATTTTGAGAGCGCAAATGGTTTTGGTCACTCCATCCTCTTCCTAAGGTAGAGAATGTAGCTAGTTTTGGGTTTTTTTTATTTGTTTTTATTTGTTTGTTTGTTTTGTCATTTGTTTTGTCACTTAGTTGTAGAGGAAAAAGGTGAAAGAGCATTAATGTTGGAGTTTAGCAGACCCAGGTTTAAACTCTGGCAATACTATGTGTCCTTGGACAGAATGGGTAACCTCTCTGAGCCTCTGTTTAATTATGTATAAAATAGTTTTTAATAATGCCTTTCTCTGTTCTAGAGGTTAAATGAGAAAAGACACATGAATCTTCTAGGACAAAAATGTCATGTGAGCATTGCACCCTATAGAAATAGCTATATGTTTTGCTACTGAATTCCACGTTTTGGCTTAAATCAAAAGGGAGAAATAGCAGTTAGACTGATGTCTAGGAATAAGCTTTGGGTCCTGGGCTCGGACCACAGGGAAGTCTGCTACACCACAGATCTCTCAGCTGTATCTGATGAAGCTGTAAGCACCTTTCTAGAACATGAGCCCTACCACCTACTTGAGTTTTGTGGAAGCCTACTCTTTATCTTCTGAACCAGTTCTTATTCTAGTCTCCATTTTCAATTCCCTTCTACTTCCCTTATTTCCAAAATGTTATGCTAGCTGTGTGAAGTTGGAAATCCTATACTGAAAATTATCCAGGAGATCAACAGAGGAAAAGTAAGATCAGGCATTTACTGTCCATAATAAAATAACGTGAAGACTCATTTTCACATTGATATGTGAGGAACACATGTATATCTATTAAGTGTGGGAATTATAATTCCAGAGGGAGGAAAATATTTTGTTTAAACTGTATGTTTTTTTTTTTTTAACATGGCTTTTTTTCAATGGCATGAATTTTGCAATCCTCAGGAAGCCAAAGCTGTTGTTGAAGAAACCAGAGCCCTGCGAAGTCGGATTCACCTTGCCGAAGCCGCACAGCGACAGGCACACGGAATGGAAATGGACTATGAAGAAGTGATCCATCTGTTAGAGGCCGAGATCACAGATCTAAAGGCTCAGCTTGCTGATTATTCGGACCAAAATAAAGTAAGCAAAACCGTCCTCTCTTTTAGTTACCATGGTTTCCTTGCCGTTGTCATGTATCCTGTTTTCATTTTCTTTTCATCTGCACTTCTAAACTAGGTCAGTGTTTGTCTTCTATTATTCAATGATAGGATGATGTGTCGTGATGGGATGGGGGGGTAAGGTGAAGGTTGTGAGCCTCCCTTTATCCACATAGCTTGGGAATGAAAAAGCATGTGACCCAAATTTATTTGGGTCATTGGTCAACATTGTGCAGCTCAGGCAGTAAGTCCTAGAACTATTTAACATTTAATTGATTACATTGGTTTTCTCCATTTGTTCCTAAACTTGCTAATTTGCCTTGTGGGGATGGGAGGAGGAGAGTCTAGGGATGGGTTTTCCTCTTTGATTAGAGCACTCAAGGAAGTGTGAATGTTAAATAATTTTTGCCCAGGGCCAAGATAATTAATAGGAAGAAACTGAGTTTGAATTTAATAGGCTCCAATTTCAATAGCAAAATACTGAATGCTATTTATAAGGCAATGTGATCCTTTTTTCATGGGAATTTTTTATATGATTTTTTTAACATAATACATACTATATTCATTGAAAAGTCTTCAAAAACTATAGTACACATACACATTTTTACTTCACTGAGGTAGAAAATTAAGTAAATTGAAAGACATATTTAATGACTTCAACAAGTTCATTTAGGATAGGTGTTTACATCTCTAATACAGTCAACTTTCAAGAAAACATAAAGCAAATTTGAATAATTTATGTCTATCTATATAAACATAAAACTGTTAAATACCTTAAATATACCAAGTGGAAGTGAAACCAGTTTTAGAAAAGCAAAATGAAGAGGAAAATCTGAAATTTTCTTTGGCTAGCTCTTGAGAGGCACTAATACATTTCTCACATCTGCCCATTTAAACCGATTCCGAAAGAGCTGATGTTCCTACTTTGATAATACACAAGGCTAAGGGAAAGTTATATTACTTGAAAAGGCAACAATACTTAGAAATACTACATATATTTATTATTTTTGACCCAGTGTTTACATTTTGAAATCAGAGATCCATGCTTAGTTCATGTGAGTAACTTTAACATGATTCTGAAAATATTTGGGGAATTAATCAAAATGTCAAAAGTACAGTTTTATAAAACTGTTTACTTTTGGAGGGATAATCAACAGTCTTCAAAAATACATTCTAAGTAATATAATATTCAAAGAGTTCTCATGAATTGATTCAAAAAACTTTTTTAAGCATAGATTATTTGCAATTCTCTGTTCCAGCTCTTAGCTGAGAGACATTTTGGTCCTAAGTTGTCTGGCAATGTAATTAATTCAGTTTTTCTCTTTTTTAGCATAATGGGGTCTCCTGCCATTCCTCCTAACAAGATTCTAAGTTGGCCGTTAACGTGTCTCTGAAAAAAATAATCTTTTGTTTATTTTTCAAAGAAAAAATATTAGACAAGAGCATCTCAACATTTTCCAAACTCAATACCAGTGGAGAAAGAGAAGGAAAGTTTTTTCTTTTTAATTGTTTTAAGATTGCTTCAAGAGACATTGACCAAGATGTTGCAGGACGTAGATTCAAATATTCTTTTTTAAGACACAGGTTCATTTTGTAACTATGTTTTTTTCACTGTAAGTTTTTCCTTTAAAAAAATTTTTTTTAGGGGCACCTGGGTGGCTCAGTCAGTTAAGCGTCCGTCTTCAGCTCAGGTCATGATCTCGTGGTCCATGAGTTTGAGCCCCTCATTGGGCTCTGTGCTGACAGCTCAGAACCTGGAGCCTGTTTCAGATTCTGTGTCTCTGGCCCTCCCCCATTCATGCTCTGTCTCTCTCTGTCTCAAAAATAAATAAACGTTAAAAAAAATAAAATTAAAAAAAATTTTTTAATGTTTACTTTTTTTTGAGAGAGAGAGAGAGAGAGAGACAGCATGATTAGGGTAGGGGCACAGAGAGAGAGAGGGAGATACAGAATCTGAAGCAGGCTCCAGGCTCTGAGCTGTCAGCACAGAGCCCAACACAGGGCTTGAACTATAAACTGCAAGATCATGACCTGAGCTGAAGTCGGACACTTAACCGACTGAGCCACCCAGGTGCCTCAAGTTTTCCCTTTTATTATCTCTATACTTACTTAGCTTTTTTATTTTTTATTTTTTCTGTTTACCCCCAGCTTAGGAAATAAAACATTACCAAAACCTTTGAAGATCCAGTGACCTTCCCTAGTTACAATCTTCTCCCTTGCCCTCAGAAGTTACCACTTTCCTGGATTTAATATTAACCATTTTCTTGATCATTTTACCACATATGTTTATATCTCTTACTGGTAAATGTTGTTGAGTCCTGCCTGTTTATCAACTTTATATAAATAGAATGGTCCTACATGTATTATTCTTGCTTTTTTCACTCAAACTTTTATTTTTGAAATTCATCTATTTGAAATTTATAGTTGGTTCATGTATTTTCATTGTTTTTTTTTTTGTACTCCCTTGAATGGATATACTATAGTATATTTGTCCATTCTGTATTTGATGAACAGTCCAATTGTTTCTGTTTTCTTTATTATGAACAATGTTGATAAAAACACTTTTGTATATATCCTGCTCCACATGTATAACAGTTTCTCTTGGGTTCATACCTTAGAGTGGAATTGCTAGGTTGAATGATGATTGATCACCTTTACCAGGTCATGCCTAATTGTGTTTGAAAGCTTTTGAGCCAATTTTTACTCCCACCAGTAGTGAATGAGAGATACTATTTACCACACATCCTTGCTGACACATTGTTTTCATTTACTTTTAATTTATATCAATCTGGTAGGTGTAATAAGTAAATCTCATTATGGTTTAATTTGGATTTCCCTGATTACTAATGACTTTGAGCCACGGGTGTGTTGGGACCAGCTAGCACTGGCTCACAATAGGTGATTGTATGCGTATCTTCTCAACTGCATATTCAGTGACATCAGGTTGTTTGGTAGCTTCATATCAGCTGTGGTGGAATTATTTATACCCCCAAATGCTATAAACTAGGGCTTTTTTGCCCTGGCCCAGATAGCCAGTTGAGCATATATTTATGTACTTGTTAGGCATTTATGTTTTCTGAAATGCCTTTTCATAACTTTCAATTGTTTTTCCCATTAGGTTGTCCTTTGCACATTGATATGTAGTGATTGTTCACATGTTCAAGTTACTACACCTATATTAAATTATATGTTATTAAAAATCTTTTCTCTCAGATTCATGGCTTACTTTTCACCCAGTGGCAAAAGAAACACTGACTTTCATGTAGTCAAACTTATCAGTCTTTTCCCTTATGTGCCCTTTTACAAGTTCTTCTATTCCCAAAGATATTCTTTATATCTGCCTCTAAGTTTTGATCTTTCTGTCATTGGTTTCGTAGCATTGTATGGGGATGGAGATCCATTTTATTCTTTCTTTATACTAAATGAACGACCAACTATCCCAGCCCCATTTATTCAAAAGCCTCTTCTTTCCTAATTGATCTACAAAATCAGGTCTGTCATATATCAAGATTTCATTTGCATTTATCTTTCTGAGGGCCCGCTCTTCTCCTTCACTGGTCTATTTGTACATTCTTGCACAAATAACATAAGGTTTTGGTTACTATAACTTTTATAGGGAATCTTGATATATGACCATCCTGCCTAGTTCTTTTTCTTTAAAAGTATGTTGGCTACATGACCCTTTGTCCTTTTATGTGTATAAATTCAACCAAAAGAAAAAAACTACTGGAATTTTTACTGAAAATAAGTTAAATATATAGATGAATTCGGAAAGAATTTACATGTTTATGATTGAGTCTTTATAAACACCACTGAAGCAAAAGACCGGATAATTGCATTGTGGCCAGAGAATCTAGTCTACAGTATAATCGATTCCAAAATATGTTGGTGGTTGCTTTGTGGCTTATACTGTATAGCCAGTGTTCACACATGGTCAAAGTGAGCTTCAAAAGAATTCTTCATGTTTTTTTGATGTATCATTTTATATATTCCACTAGATCAGATTCATTAATTGTAAAGTCCAGCTTTTATCTAGTCATCTTAATTTCTTTGTCAGAGAAATGCATTAAAATCTTCCTTTTTTGGGGGGGCGCCTGGGTGGCTCAGTGAGTTAAGCGTCTAACTTCGGCTCAGGTCATGATCTCACAGCTCATGGGTTCAAGCCCCATGTCAGGCTCTGTGCTGAAGGCTCTGTGCTTTGTAGTCTGTGTCTCCCGCTCCTCTGCCCCTCCCCTACTGGTGCTCTCTCACACACGCGCATTCTGTCTGTCTGTCTCTCTCTTTCAAAAATAAATAAATGTTAAAAAAATAAGAAGAAGAAAAAATCTCCCCCTTTTTTTTTAAAAAAAAGTAATGTTTTTAGCCATATATAGGCTTGGAATTACATTATCATCCTTTATGGAATGTTGTGACTCTTCAATTTATCAATCTTATATTCCCCCTAATATTTATTTTTGATTAATACTAAAATAGTTACAACAGTTTTCTTTTGGTATTTATGGTGTATCTGTTTTCCTTCCTTTCACTTTTAACTTTGCATTGTCCTCACATTTTAATTGTGTATGTGGTAAACAACATATAGCTGAATTGTTCCCTCATCTTACTAATTTTTGACCTTTAATTGGAAAGATCTTTCCATTTACCCTGTTTTATTTGATAATGCCATTGGCTTCATTTCTACCCTCTTTAATTTATGCATTTTATTTGTGCTTTAGTTTTTGGTTGTGTTTTTTTTTTTCTTTCAATGTGCCATGTCTTGCCTGTTTGTTTGTTTGGTTTTTAATGTTTATTTTTTGTTTATATTTTGTGAGAAAGAGAGTGTGAGCCGGGAGGGGCAGAGAGAGAGGGAGAAAGAATCCCAAGCAGGCTCCACGCTGTCAGTGCAGAGCCCAACATGGGGCTTTATCTGGGGCTTGATCCCATGAACTGTGAGATCATGACCTGAGCCAAAATCAAGGGTCAGATGCTTAACCAAGTGAGCCACCCAGGTACTCCTTGTCTGTTTTGTTTTGTTTTTTTTTAATCGGTTCAGATTTCTCCTGTGTTCCCCAACTCCCATTCCATGTATTTCCTTCTGCTGGTTTATAGAAGGTATGTACTCTGTTTCTAATTTTTAATGATTATCTTAGAAATTTTAACATTCTATTTTCACTCAAATTATAAAACTAATCACTAATTTTCCCCTGCTTCTAAATATGATAGTACTTTAAAACCTAAATCCAATCATTCCTTCCTACTTAATTTCTATTTTTATCAGTATTTTAGTTCTTTCTTGACTTTTAACACCATAAGTTAGACACTATCACAATTTCTTTTGTGGAGTCAACTTTTGTTTAAATAGATGCCTTCTTTACCATTTTCTGTGTCCAGCATTCTTTTTTGCATCTCAGTCCTTCTTGCTAAAATTATTTCCTTCCTGAAGTACAGCTTTTAGAAATGTGTTTAATGAGGATCTGTTGGTAACACATTCTCTTCATTTTCGTTTGTCTGAAAACATCTTTATTGAACTCTTGCTCTTGAAATACATGTCTGCTACATTTAAAGTAAGTTTGCACTTAATTTCTTTCAGTGTCTTTATTCCATGATGGTGATATCAGCAGCCAATCTGTTATTTCTTTGCAATACATTGTTTCTTTCTTGATGATTTTAAGATCTCTTTATCATCTGTGTTCAGCAGTTTGTGATGAGTCATGTGTTGACTTATTTTTATTTATAGTGCTTGAGATTCACTGAGTTTCCTGATCTGAGAAACATTCTTTTGTTATATCTGAAAAACTCCAAATTGTTATCCTGAGCTATGTCTCTGTCATTCTTTCTGAACCCTCATGTGTAATTCAGATTGAGTATATACTATATTTTCATCTAGTTATTTTCTCCTTACCTCTTCTCCTTTTTTTATATCCTCCCATTTTATTTTTCTGCTGCATTATGAAAACCTTCTTTACCTCTGCCTTCCAGTTTATCCGTTCTCTTTTCAGCTATATCTAATTGTATATTAAACTCATAAATTGAGTTTCTGATTTCATTTTGATTATATTTTTATTTTTAAGATTGATTTTTTATGCCATCTGGATCTATTTTTATAGTTTATTTTTCCCTTTATCATGTCTTAAATTCCTCCCTAATTTTTAAAACTCATTAAACACTACTTTATAGTCTATATCTGATTACTCCAATATCTGCTGTCTTTATATAGTTTGTTTCCTTTATATAATTTGTTTCCTTCAGCTGACTTTTATTCATGGTAGCTTATTTCCTGAGGTCCTGTTCTTTTGACACATTATATGTAGAAATTCTTTGAGATCTGAGTTGAGAAAATATCCCTCCACTGAAGTTTTGTGTTTGCTTCTGCCAGTCTGGAACTTATTTAAACCAAAATTTCAGCTTATAAATTTACAAGACACACAGGCAATGTAAATTATGACCTCAAACCTTCATGAGTTTGGACCCATGAAGGTTTTTTTTTAACTTCCTCTCCAGAACCCAAATCAGAACCATCGATTTACTTCTGTAAGGTTTGCTTCTTTCCAATTCACCCATTAAAGTTCTCTCATTTGCCATGTGTGCCCAAGGATATACCCTCAGAGCAAATTATGTTTCAGCATTCTCTTTTATAAGTAGGTTCACCCAGCATTGTTGTTTGTCTTCATGAAATTCCTTTACTGTCAATGGGATTCTTTTACTGTTCACAGGCTTCCTTTACTTCTCTGCCGGCTCATCTTTACATTATATCATATTACATTAAATATATATGTGTATTCTCAGTAATTTTTGTTACGCCACACTGGTAGTGATTTCTGTCAGCAGCTGGTAAGCCGTGTTGTAAACAAAAACGAAACAATGATAAACTCAATTCAAATGTATTTTACTATAAGAATCAATAAAGCCATATGCAGCTTATCTTGTAAAATTTGCAGCATCCCTATACAGTCTAACTTTTAAATATGCATATACAGTTAATTAAGTGCCTCCCCAAATCAGAAGATAAGTACACTAAGAGAAAATAAATAATATGGTAATGTTGGATATTAGTTAATAAAAACTGAACATAGGAGCCACTGATATAAAATCAAAGAAATGTTTAAGACCCTCCTTTTGATACCTCTATCCAGGAAAGTGTTCAGGAGTTAAGAAAGAGAATCACAGTGCTCGACTGCCAATTGCGAAAATCGGAAATGGCTCGAAAAACTTTTGAGGCATCCACTGAAAAGCTTCTTCATTTTGTAGAGGTAAATTTTCCCATTAACATTACCTTATGCCCATTTTTAAGAAATCTATATATGACTGACACTCAGATAAATGTCATGGTGTTTGGTGGCTAGTGAGACATTCTCTGGGCTCAAAACAGCAATGCTAACCAGCAGCCAATTTTAAAATTGCATAAATAATGAAAAGACCAGCTAACAAATAGATTCTATTGCTAACAAATAGAGCAATAATCCAGACAGGATAACATGGTCCCAAATATATACTATGTTTTTTGAACTCTTTTTCAAAACTGTTAATACTATACAAATATTATTTGATAAATATTTACCCTATAAAGAAATGTTTCCATAGCTATTATTACACATCTAAGTGGCGTTGCATGTCAATGTAATTGATTCTTTTTTCCCCACATAACAGAAACACCTTTTAATCAATTGGGAGTGAAAGGAGGAGGGAGGTTATAAACATTAGTTAAGTAAGAAAAGATGTTTTAAAAATATCAAACTTACATATTTCCTTTACTATCTTATTTGTCTCTAGACTATTCAAGAATTACTTTCTGATAATTCTTATCCTTTATCAAATTTAAGGTAAGAACATTTAAGTGTTTACTGTAGAGTATGATTACGTTTTTCATTTGGTAATTGTGACTAAAATACTAGAAATCTCTTAAATAGCCTTAAGATGCTACATAACGATTTGATGCTGTTTTTAATGTCTTGTGGAAACAGATACAAGGACGTGTTGTTTTTGACCCCATTTCTGTAAAAGAAATTCCTGGAGGTATTTAGTCAGTCACTGTAACCTAGTACTCTATTGAGGTAGGAATCACCTATATTGTTTTTGTCAGGAATTCTGTAAAGAGGGGATTACCTTGAAGTTCTATAAGCATCCTGTGTATAAATAAAAATCACTTTAAAGGTCAGTCTCAAGCCAGCAGATCAGTTGTTATGGCAAACAATTTTATAAAACATGTTCATACAATCGGTTTCTTTCATTTTCAACATTCAGTAGACATAAAAAAATATACATATTTGGAGAATACACCTTGATTTTGTTACTGTTCACAGATTGTTTCCAATTCAAAGTTTCTTACTAGGAGCTACAAACATACTAATACAATTTATGTATTTCAAACTGCAAGTCTTTGGTCATTGTGATACATAATGAGAGATACAGAAACGAAAGTTTCCTGTTTATACATTTTCAGAGCAGTTTTTTTCCCTCATCTTGTAAAAGCTGCCACTAGCAATGTACTTCTACTTCTAGCAATGCATACTTGCAGACAGGAGAACTCTGCCCTTCCCTATGAAAACACCAGTTTAATAAATGATGATTCATTGTATTCTTATCTATTTTAGGGTTCCACATAGCATTTTTTTTAACCTTAGAAGAATGTCTATGGTAGTACACTTAAAAAAAATTATTATTGAAATAGAGTTGACCTACAATGTTATATTAGTCTCAGGTGTACATCATAGTAATTTGATTACTCTGTCCTTTATGTGATAATAGTATACTTTTGAACTCACTTTATTGTCATGCTTTATTCTAATGAAAGATCAGACATTGCTCTCCATGCTGCTTATGATGCAAGATAAAATGAAGATAACATGAATTTCATAATAATTATTTTCAATAACAATGTTAAAATACTCGGCAATCAGATTCCCTTGTATGGTTAGATGTATTTCCCGTCCCCACCCTCCAAGGTCTCATTGTGACCTTGAATAATAATTCAGAAGTTTTGGTATTAAAAATGAAGGTTAAAAATGACTATTCAAAAGCCAGAGCTTGCCCTCAAACTTAAACTGGTTCATGGAAAAAAAAGTAACTTTAAAAAACAATATTAAGCAACTTTTCACCATGTCTTAGAAACTGAAACTCTAGTACAGTATGGTTCAGTCTTTCTAATATCTGTGTCTTCTGTAATAAATTTAGGCCTTGATCATTCAACACAGAATAAAGGCTCTGTATTTGAATTTGAGAATTGATGCTTTAGTGTCTCCTTGTGAATGAATATCATCATGCTTAAGAAGATGGACTATAAATAATAATAGTTTTGTCATCAGTTTAAAATTGCCCCTTTTCAAATAAAAGTTTTAATGTGATGGTTTTTTGCAGTAAAACCTAGCATTTTAAATTATAAAAGAGTGCATTCATTTCAGGTGACATTTGCATCTCCAAAAAGTGTTATAAATGCTGTTTAGATTTAGGGACAACAAATGGAAGAGCTTAAGAGAAATTTCAGGAGCACATACACACTGAAATTCTATTTAATATTATAAGAAGTAACAGTAAATGTCTGCTTAATAAATTTACGTCTGAGTGCTTCATTTGAATTTTTACAAAACTAAATAAAAGGCTACATCATGTTAGCATAACATAAGCACTCACAAAATAAGCCCAACAAATGATTTATTTCTCCTTCTTATCAGGTCAGTCTAATTCTTTAAATATGTCTTTGTTACATAACGAAGAATAGAAAACAGAAATGTTTTGTGATTACTTCATTTTATGACTGTAAGAATTCAATATTCCCAGAAATACAAATATTTTTGTACCTAAGAGTTCAGATTCAGCCAAGATGGATGTTATTTATTGTGTAATAAGCTCATCTTTGCATTATTGCCATCACAGTGAAAGAAGAGCTTTGTTAGCTTCTCAGACTTCCCTCACACCCCTGGGAAGGAACGGACGTAACATCGCAGCAACACTGGCACTTGAATCTAAGGAACTTGTTAAATCTGTTCGGGCCGTACTTGATATGGATTGTAAGTTTTCTGCATTTTTTCACTTTTTTCCCCCCAGTAATTCATTTAACAAAACAAAAGGAGATTTCAAGCTTGACAGTTTAATTTTGTTAAATGCGTTGGTTTGCCTGTAGTAAAACTGAGAGCTAATTGATAAAAATCTCGATACACTCCTTGTAGGGGGAGAATATTTATTTAAAGTGCCTGAAATGGCCTCCAACAGAATATAGCTGATTAAGGCATGTTTTTGCCTCGACTTCCATCCAAAGTCTCTTTGAAATGGAAGAACAGATAGAAAAATAAATCCACAACAGCACTGGAAACCTGGAAGGTTAGAACCAACATTTAGGGATTTTTGAATAATACACAACAGATGGAATAAAATGGAAGGTACAGCCCAGCTGAGCAAAAGACCCCAAAACACAATAAAGATCAAAGACAAAACTGCTGAAACAGTAAGTTAACTAGAACCGTGAAAAAAATGTCCAGGATCACAGGCAGGGAAGACTGGGAACAGACCCTGGGGCACTCAGCAGGGTAATTAATTAAAGGGCTATGGAATAGCTGAACCAGTTCCCCACTCATCCGAGCTGCTGGCTCAGGCATTTCCTCCTGAGCCAGGGCCAGGAGAATACCTCTCTTAAAGAACTGCATGATCTGTCCTTGGACACCCCCAGAGTCAGCACTGGGCTAGAAAGAGATGCAGGGGAACAGGCTTAGTAATGCCAGTGTCCCAGCAGACAGGGAGATCCTTGGGGAGAGCTGAAGTGATCAGTCATTTCCATCCTTCCCTCCTCCTGTCTCCCAGCACTTTTGCCTCTTCATGGATTTGGACTCCCTTTTAATTTGTTTGTTCTTCTGTCTCTTCTCTTGATGCCAGTCTGTCTGCTGGTTGTCTTTATGCTGGCCTCTAGCATTCCACTGTCTCTGTTTGCCACTCTTAATCTTCCCTATGCTGGGGACGAGATATCAAATATATATAAATATAAATGTAGAGAGGCACAGAAAAAACTCTTTGTTCACAAAGTATCCAAATAATAAGTTTTGAGTAAAGTCCTGTCTAGTAAATGGTTTGGCTTTGTAGAGGATACTATTCAAAGACCCTATGGGGTAACTTTTAACTTCAAAACTATGTTATAGAAAGAGAATTGGAAACCATGCACAATTTGTGCAGTGAGGTTTTTTTTCTTAATTTTGTATAACCTATTAAATTAAAAAAAAATCAAATTATATTTCAAAAACCCTATAAGAACTCTCTATGTGAAGAAATTCTGTGGGTTTCAGGATAGATGAAAATAATCACTTCTAATGTATTATGTGTACACTCAGAATTTAAAATATCAGACATTTTTAAGTTAGGGTGGGACCAATGGAGGGGAAACACCTGCATACACACACATAGCCCAGTGGACAATGCCATCATTACTTTTAATTACCTTGCTAACATTAACCTTTACATTTGTCAAACATGATTATTCAAAGAAAATATTTGAAATTCAGCAGAACTCCTTTGGAAGAGAAGTGAAAAATTCCATTGGCACTTTTTATGTCGTAAGATTGTACCTCATTTGCTGTTTAAACTAGCAAATAGTTTCTGCGTTGTCTTTTTTATTTATTTAGAGATATAATTGCTAACATTGGCATGTATTCCCAGTACTTTCATAATTTTTATGACCTATCTTTTTCAGGTTGATAATTCAGATAAACTCAGCTCATTTTCTTTCTCTTTATGCAGTCGCTTTTCTATATGTAATGGAAAGCAGAAAATTACTACCATGAGGTAGATAATTCAGCCACAGCCTCTACCTCATTTCCTTTGGCGTGACTGTCTGGTTATTTCAAGTTACAATTCAGAATTTTCTCTTGGGTAATTGCCTTTATTTTCTTCTTGACATAAGTATAATCTAGGATGTTATACAATGGGATTTCCTCAGAAATGAGAATCAGATTTCTTGGGTGTTATAGCTTAAACCCAGTCTCTGATGGAATATCTAGAAGATATTTCTGAACCTTTTTTAGATGGTGGCCGCTACTGAAATCTGGAGAAAGCCCTGTTACCAGACATGTGCAATTATATACATTTGCATCCATCTTCAGAGTGTTTATAAACCCCAACTTAAGAACCTAGATGTAGGGTCACAGAGGGCACGAGTGGTTTTTACAGCCTTGCAAACCTGGCCATCCAGCTTTCATCGGGATAGCTGTAGCAATGGAGAATTATGTGAATCATGGAGGCATCCTCGAGGAACAGTTTGAACCCATGTAAACAGTGCTCTGCAGAATTTCTGATGATCCTTGGAGGTGCCCCAGGGAATACCCCAATTAGCCATCCAACTTCATTGGGCAAATTAATTAACCTCTGGTCCTCTTTCCTCATATAAAAGGTGGAGTTCATAATATCTAAACTGGCAGGGTTGGAGGATTAAATGAGATACATGTAAAGTAGCTAACGGAGCACCTGGTAGTATAAGGTGTTCATTAATGGACATTGCTACTGCTGGTGCTGCTAATGCTGATACCACATTATTATCATCTAAAGCAGCTAATTTAAAACTACTTTTTCTCTGTGCTAAGTATTAAGTAACTATCTTCTAAATCTTTCAGTTTGGATCCATTTGAAAAATATGACAGATGAGAGCTTTCCTTAATGTATAACATATAATGTTATTTTCAATTTTGAGTTATAATGTAATCATCATAGGAAACCATGGCTAAATGTCTCAATCAGCATCTTATCTTTCAGTTGTTTTTTTGCTAACTATAACAAAATTTTGGTCTGTTCCACTGTACTGCCTCCACTGAAATAGCATGTAGACAAAATAAGCATTTTCAATCAGTATTGGAACCCCTACAGGTGCCTCTATCGATCGATCTCCATCAGTATTTACATGGTCAATATCATAATGTTTTAGTGTAATCTTTATTTGAAATAACTACTTGTTTTGAACTTAAATCTTTGATTGACATCTAGTTTCACAAAATACTTCTGTTACAAAGGCAGAAAGAAGCAGTTCTACTTTTAAAACACATAATAAAATAATAACTGGCCAGCTATTCCATAGGAGGTCTTTAATAAGAACTTACTGACTTCCTCGTAGATGGGCAGCACAAACACAGGTATCCACCTTCCTTCACGATTCCCATGGAAATGATAGATGGAATATAAAAATAGAGTAAAAATCTTCAAAAGCACTTGTAGTTACAGGCAAATCCCAAAAACTTCGATAGGGCAGGTGAGGCCACATACAAGGAAAGCACAAATGCCCAACTTGTTACTCCCCCTGCTTAACAACAGTGGCAATTATGGGATAATTGGAGGTCCTTCTGGCCGGAGGACAGTCCTTAATGCATTCTGATTTGAAGGGGTAATGAATAAAGCCAAAGACTCACCAGGGGGGCAGATGGACTCTTTTTCCTCTTTTATCTTGGTGAGTCAATGGCATTTTTGGAATCCTCAGGATTCACACAGATTCTGTGTCAAGCGGAAAGCTGACTGGGGCTTGGTCTCTTAGGCAGCAAAGACACACAGTGACATGCGCACACGCATCGACATGCACTGGGGCACACAGGACACTTTAAATGCAAAGGGAGCCCAGAACAGTGGCTTCTGCACCAAATGCCATCCCACTCTTCACAGCCACCTCTGGTCTTGGCTCACCTCTCACTCCCCTCAGACTACTGCATCATCCTTATACTCACAACACAAGTATACACTGGCCAGCCCCAGCCAGAGCTTTGAGAGGGTAACTCCAACAACAACGTGGTTAAATGTCAGTGCAACCAGAGGGTCCACACATTGTTTCAAAGGTCAAAATCCAATTCTGAGTAGAGTTCTCTACATCAAGTTTCTATAAAGAGAAATACATAACGTGTGTGTGTGTGTGTGTGTGTGTGTGTGTGTGTGTGTATACATACACACACACATTTCATTCAAGATCTTTTAAACAAATATATACATAAGCATACCAATATATGATCATGATAAAGTCCACAGTGTTAAAGCAAGAAAATAGAGCTGTCAAGATTTAGAATAGACTACCATCTACCAAGATGGTAGAGTGATCTCATGCCAAAACCTCCCCATTCTGCTCCTACACTTAGAAATGACATTTAAAATTATGTTTGTGTATTTAAAAGATGAAAACCAAAAAATTCACGTCTCCCTGCACCAAGAACAGAGAGTAAAACTGTAATGATAAGTGAGCTCTTAAGCTTCAGAGATTCATGGGGTTGGGATGAGCACCTGGAGCCAAGGTTTCTACACCCACGAGGACCCAAATGATGCCTGAGCAAAGGAAGCAAGGAGCAGGAATCTTCCTGTGGAGAATACACTTTCTTTTCTTAAGTTACTCATATATTAGGCATTAAAAAAAAATCCATCCAATTTAGGAGCCATCTGGGCCTGCCAGTAATTAATGTTGAAAGTAAATATTCTCATCCACTACAGGTGGGAATTTAATTTGGCACAACATTTCTGGGAATCAGTTTTGCAGTATATATCGGGAGCTTTTAAGATATCTATTTGAAAACTATTTTTGAAAGTCAAAAATAATATTTTGTTGGTCATTTATTTTAACCCTACAATCCTACCTGTTGGTATTTTGCAAAGAAAATAATGAGAGATGTGCTTAAAAATGCATATATAAGTATTTGGATCACAGCATTTCTTATAATAGCAGAATTATGGATATTCAACTGTTATAGAGTGGTTGAATAATTATATAATTTTTTACTCAACCAACTGAAAATGAAGGTGAACTTTACCCCTACCAAGCAATGACTATCTGATTACATATATTTGTCTGTGGGAGCTTCCTGCATCAATTCAGGTGTTCCTTACTGTCTGAAACTAGCAGTATTTTAACTTTTAAAATTAGAATGTCAGTAATAGATGCTTTTTGTCTTTATATTCTGAAGCTAATTAGAAGTTATTTAGGCAGATGGGAAAAGGTTTTATGAGAAAAAGGGGAAACGTCGTACTGCAACATTTGTAGGACTTTATGATTTTTTTTCTTTTAGAT